AGGAATGCTGGAGAAAGAACAACTCCCTGTAGGAGTTGAAGGGAGTGAAGTTCCTCGTGGTGCTGACAAGAAACAGTCGCAGCCTTGTTTTGTAGCCATCCTGTAATGCAAGCACTCAGGGGTAACTTTGGCTGGGCTGAATTGCCCCATGCAACTACTCATGGGATTGGTGCTGGTGCAAGTGTATATAAGGAATCTGCTCTTAACACATCTTTGAGGACTCCTTGTAGAACCACTTATGGCAGTAGGACTCTGCCCAATGCATTGTTCATTAATTATTTTTTTTTTAAATTTTAAGCACAAATATGTTTAAAGGGTACCACAAAAATTCCCCGACATCACATTGCAAAATAAAATCTATAGGATTTGTTATTGAAAGGGTAAAAAGACCACTACAATAGATTGAATTTGTAAAATGTCTTACCAAAGCAAAGTGTACAATAGGTGATGCTCTCCAAACTTTCATTCTGTTGTCTTTCCCAAACAAATAATTGAAATCTTCTAGTATCATCAATCTATGTTTTAAAGTAGACACAAAATTAACATTAAAAAGATAGGTAAAGCACAGGTAAAAGATATTAGGACTTTTTTTTTTTTTTGACAGTGAAGGGCTATCACTTTTTTCTTTTCTTAGTAGGGTGCTACAGAGAAAAGGGCAGGATCTCCTATTTCAGCTCCTTCTGGGACAAAAAGAAATCCTTCACAGTGAAGATGTTTTATTGGGAGAGAAAATTCTAGCATTAGAAAATTCTAGCATTAGAACAACCTATGTATTGCCTGTGATCATCTGAAGACAATCTTCCCAGTAGCAGATTTGACCACAGAAATGCTTGAGGAACCCTGAAGAAGCTCCAACAACATTCTACAATTTCACCAACCCTATCCAAATGTGATTCAAGGGAAAAAACATTTGCTTGTAGACTAAGATAAATAAAAATGGCTGTAAAATATCATAATATTGCAGTAAATGAACCATACATATGGATAAGCTAAAATGGTGAGGAAAGAAATAATTACTTTCTTCCATTAAACTTAAACTTTTTGTGTGTTATAGACAACACAACACAATTAATTTCTCATTAATGTCTGTAAAGGATGTTATAGATGGGCGTCTTCAAAGGAATTAGAATTGGCAACGACTGTTTAAGTGATCTCCAAACTGAGGCTCCTAAAGCAAACTAACCCAAGCCAGTAAGTATTTGTGGCTACAGGTTGGTAGGATCATGAAGATTAAACCACCCCCCAACAGCAAGGGCAGAAGGGTACCTGAAAGAAAAAGGGAGATTGTATTTTTTGGGGGAGTGGTGATGAGGTTCATTGCCTTCTCATCACTGCAACCATAAAGGAGAGCTGGGCAGTGAATTTTTTGCCTTTCCCCCTCCTAAGCAGCTTTTTTAAACATTTCTACTTTGAAAACTGATGTATGGAAACTGGCACCTTTGTAATACCAGATGTCATCATATGCATTTGGATTCATAATCTGCTTATACTAAGTAAACAAAATACTGATGCTTGTTCTTGTTTATCCTGTGGAGTAACCCAGTGAATAAACTATAAGCTTCCTTCTCATATGCCGGTAGAATTCTTTCATTCTGCTAAATTAACATTCAGCCAGACAAATATGTGAATTGACCAACAGATATGAGGCTGCATGAGAATAAATATAATACAAAGATCAAAGGGCTGGCTTAGATGCTACTAAATCAGAACTTAGACTGCAAGATTTGTACTTTTTGTCATATGTAAGTAAACAACTTCTAGAGTTTTCTTCTACAAGGATAATTTTGAAGAAACAGCAGCTGGAAGGAATTTAATTTCAAAAAAGTTAAAACTGAGCACAGATGATACAAAAATAAATTGAAAAAAAGAGAATGTTGAATCCATATGATGAAGCCTTAAAGAAACTTAGAATTGTTTTCCTTTGGTACCTAGTAAAATGGATTGTTTATTTTTGTTTACTATCTTTTTATCTGAAGTCATATTTTAAAACAAAAGTTGTTAATTTTCTCCTGTACTAATGGCAATACAGCTATCAAAAGGTTTTGCTTAATTTAATTTTCTTTTGAAAAAAAAAAACAACCCAAACCCAAAAACCAAACAACTGGTGTACTGGAAGCCTTCTACTACTTTTTCTAGAAGCTAGGGACACAGTTTTTTAATTAAATGGCTAATACATGTCACAACTTCAGAAGAGAAATGGCATAGGCGAAATTAACACATTATTGAAATTCTGTGATTTGGCCTAAAAGCACAAGTCATAAATAATTCATGTGCAGAAAGAGGTCAGATGATGATGATTACTGTAAAGTGAATCAGTGTTTCTTTGTTAAAATAGTAACCTTTAATACACTCCTTTCTAATAAGGGATTGGACAGTTCCTCTAGAACTTACTGGCTTGAGAGCACACTTAACTCAAATACTAGTAGATACTAAGCAAATAGATAACTGACTTAATTTTCTATGGTCTATCTACTTACTGAGAAGGCACGTCTGACATTTGGCACTTCACTGAAGGCGATAACTACTGGAGTGATATCCAAGGCACTCAACTCAAGTACAGCTGTGCTGATGGCAACGTCATCCTGCGATGGACCATTTGCAAAAAACAGGGCAACTTTTCTTGTGAGGATGCCCTGACGAACACGTTTGAAGACATTTCTTGCAACAAATCTCATTGCTGCCCCAATATTACGTTTACCAGTGGATCTCTCTAGCGGTATGCTCTGGATTGCTTCTATCAGCAAGTTGCTTTTTTTGAACTCTGAGAATCGGATGAGATAGCGTGTATTGGTATTGAAAGAAACAACAGAGACACGAGCGCCTGTTGGGCAATTGCTTTCACTGATCTTAATGCTCTTCAGCAATAATATAACAATGTTCCTCATTCTTTCAAATGCAGCTGGCATAACATCTTCAGACATATCAAAGGCAAACACCACTTCAGTTGGATAAACTGGACATGTGTCTGTATATTGAAAGAAAAATTTGTGTGAGAACTTTTCTACAATTCAAACATTGTTATTTTTTTCTTCAAGTCTATAAAAGAATGGACATGCAGAGGCCAGGTGGGCTTACCTGATGAGCAAGCTGGAATGAAGAGATGAGAGAGTAAATAAATTATTTTGGACTCATATTCATTAAAATAGTGACATATTCACTTGCTTTCACTAAAGAGCCTGATCAAAAGCTCAGACAACTGACAGAAACTGTGAGAGACAACACTCTGCTTCTACAACCCAATACTCAAAATAGTGCAATTTTACTGTGCGAGAATTAAATTGTTCTGGGTTCTGCTGAGCACACAAGTTAGAGAGAATGAACACTCCAAATCTGGAGGACAGGTGATACACAAATACTGTCTTCTCTCAGAGAATTCCCCAAAGGGGGTTGGCACACTGCTGAAGAATTAATTTCATCTTAAATGAGGAAAAGAGACATTTGTTACAATTTTTGTAATCCAGAGAGAGGAAAAATGAACAAAAAACGTTTCATACATCTGCTGAAAACCCCTCACAGGTAACAGCTGCCAGTCATCAAACGGAACCCAGATACAAACTATCAGTCTACAGGGTTTCCAGTGAAGGCTATTACATTTAAGAAGAGTGACTAAGTGGAATAGGAGGTGAAAGAAGATGCTCCCTACTTACGGCAGTTTTTTCGTGTAAAATTCACAAGTTCACAAGGCTGCAGGAGCAAAATAAAAAAATAATTAATGGTAAATCACAGACCAGGAATCTTACTATTGGTTTGAGCTGAAGGTCTTATCCCAGCTCCTGAACTAACTGTCACAGCAGTAAAGCCAGAATCACACATTCCCGTTCCTCTCTATTTTTAAACAGTACACAGGTTCTGCCCCTATTGCAGAAACAAAGGGGTTTCTGGATATGCTCTGTTGGCACTTAATCATGTTCTGGAGTATTAAGCGACCATTTATCCATTCTTATTTCATGTAACAATCTGATCTAGGAGGTCACCAGGCAGTGGCACTTCTATAGAAGAATGGGCATTTCAATAGCAACTCACACAGGAAGAGAAAGGTTCACGGAGGAGAGAAGCCCCTCTGGACATAGAACACACCTGCAATAGGATTGCCTGCAGGTAATTGTCCATGCAAGGGTTAGATGGAGCCTTTACTCAGAAGTATTCGCCTTACACGGGATAAGGTTTATGAAGAAATCCAACCCTGCTACTCCTAGTGAAAAAAACTGTTGCTGAGGAAATGCCTTCCTTTAAAAGAGGTTGGAAAGTAACTTTAAGCCTGAGCTGGTGTGTAAACTGACAAAGGAATATTAACAGTCCAACAGTTTGTAAAAGTTTGGTCATGGCGTTAATCCATATGCATAATTGTTTCTCCTTCCTTGATTATTTGCAGAACAGAAGAACCCACTGCACTCTGAGAAGTATTCGAAAAGGATAATGTTTTATAACAGCTAATTGTGCTTATTGCAGTCACTACTTATAAATGGAAGACTAAAACTGTTACTTCCATGCAGTGTGTAGTTAGCTGTGAGGTGATTACTTACTTCCATTAAAATGGTGCCCATCGGTCCCTTGGCACCCTGAAACAAATTAAACAGGTCCAGAAAATCAGACTCTGATAACATATTTCCATCTATGACTCTGTAGCCCAAAAAAAACGGATGCATACAGTGTTGCCCTGACAACCATTGTGAATTTGAAATATGAGGAGACATCAGTTCCCAGCACAGGTTTCTGAGGACCTGTTCCAAATAGAGTTGAAGACTACTTCTCAGACCTATTTCTCAGTCCGCTTTCCTTAATGGCTTTATAAATGTCCAATACTTGTTGCGCTTGAGGACCAGTATAACTCAGAATTGGATTTTTCTTTCTAAACAGCAATTTCTGTGCTGCTGTTCAGTTATCTGCACCTTACATCCTTTTCAGCCTCTGATTTATGATAGGCTTGCCCTCTCTTCTTGCAGGGTACAATCTCCACAGTTCTACCTCAAGAGACCCTGCAGACCATACACACATCATGACTGCTCAACCACTCTAGCTAGCTTTGGCTACCCTGCAGCCTTTTCCTTGGAAGCTGTGGGCAAATGCCAGGATTCCAAGCATCTCTCTTAAAATAAAAGTATTGTTTCATCTTCATAACAGGAATAAAATACAAGGAAAATAACTTTTTTTCAAGGCACCTTGAGAGTTTTCATTACATGTGCAATTCAGATGTGTTAGCAAGACTAGCAAAAATTTTCACTTACCCACAGGGGACTGCAGTGAGATACACCAGAAAAATTTTAACCCCACATCCCGCAACCTTTGCCTTAGCTTCTCTCTACCACAACACCATAGTATACCAAAATCCTACTTCCTTATGACCCCAAATTACAACCATGAATGGGCAAGGGTAACAGCTATCTATCTGGCTCATCAGTACACAAAGTCCGTCTGTCTAACATATGCACGCAGCCAAGCAGCAGGGAGAGCAATGCATTCCAGCTGGCACTCTTAGCCATTCTTGTGCCCAGAATCATAAAATAAGGTGGGTTGGGTACATTCATTGACCAGCACAGTGTAATGACCAAAAAAAAAAAAAAAATTGTTTTCTAAGTTGCATGTATCACATGGGCCATGGTATACAGGTAAAGATACTGTTATCAATAATGTTCCACATTTAAACTAAAAAGAGTAAGTTTGAGAAAGTTTAACAAGAAAATTAACAGCAGAGATGGTTTCTGGTCACTATGGAGCTGATTTGCAAAACTGTTATCTAACTGTTATCTTAACTGTTATCATACAGGAATTTTCCTAACTGCCTACAATGTTAGTCCTAAATCCTACTGAAATCCATGATTCTTTTCCCCTGCTTAGAGAATAAAACTTTTTGTTGTATAAAATGCAGACCACATATACTAGAAAAGTACATCAAGACATCTACTTGTACATAAGGATTAACAGGTTAAATTTAAGTTTTAAATAAGTGCCTGCAATTGCAAGTATGATTTTAAATGGCTTTTCTTTTTGAGTGAAAATACATTGGTTTCCAGCAGAACAATCCATTTCTAAATTTTAGTACTCTCTTCTTTTTCAATTAGATATTTACCCAGCCTAAAGACAATAACAAATACCGTGGAAGAAATTCTGCCCTGCATTGTATTGTTGCAGTTGCATTTCTGATAGCAGGTGCTCTTGAACATCCACACATCCACAGGCAAGACATAATTCTATACAATCCCCAGGCTGATTAAGCATACTTTACCACATGAAACATTATTAAACATTCCATTAATCTAACAGCAAGTTTAAGAGAAAGCTAAGAGTGAGGTTTTTTAAATAAAATATATTACCATAGGTCCTGATGGCCCTTGGTCCCCTGGATCTCCCAAGGAACCTGGTCTACCAGCATTACCCTAAAAGTAGAAATACCAAGTTTTTTCTTTATAATTGCATACATAGATACAGAATTTCAGCAGAGAAAAACCTCTATAACCATACTGTGAGTTGAATCCTGCATTTACATAAAGACAGACTACTATCCCTAAGAATTATTAGCAGCTAGTATCTCTAAAGACAGACTTGCATTCTCTCAAGACCTCTTACCCAGGATATGGCAATGAAAGATCAGAGTGGGAACCAATTTCAAAAAATTTTGTTGAGGAAAGACTTAAGACATAAGTTCTTTACCTACAGAACTCTTCACAGAGTTAACAGATTTATCATTCTTACTCTTCTACCCCTAAGTCCTTTGGGTCCTTCAGCTCCTGGAATGCCTGGGTCTCCATCTTCTCCCTGAAAATTAATGAAATGTAGAACTTTATGGGAAAGGAGAAGACAGACAGAAAGACAGATAACTACTTCCAAACAAGGAAAATTTAAAAAAAATACATAAAGAAAGCAAACATGCCCATTTAACCATACCTCTACACCAGGGTATCCTGTGAATCCAGATTCTCCCTGCCAAAAGGACAAACACTTCATAAGAATATAGAACTTTGTGATTGGCTTAGTGTTTGATGTCTTTAAACAAAAAAACAACCAAACAAACAAAAAAATTCAAAATTATTCTTAGCATTCCAGCCCATTCAAGTAACAGTGGCTATTACTCTGGTCTCAAACAACACCATTTTAGATTAACACCTTGTTCATCTAAAGGAAAAGCATTTTTAAAATTTCCAATAGTTTCTGAATTTTCAAGAGTATTCCATTTCTCAAATAAATGTTTTATCAAAATTTATTTATGCCTCCTAGTAATATACAGTGGAATTGATGTTCAGTGACCACAAGTGTAACATTCAGCCCTCAGTGTTTGAATGCAGTTTCAAAATTCTGTACCCTCCATACTAAACAGTGATGTAATATTTTTTTGGCATCTTAGAAGTCACTTCATTAATTGCTTTCAGTTCCTTCTGTTTTCGGTGTGTTCTTTGCCTGTATATGAAAAATATGGGAACTCGGACAAAGACCAATCAGAAATTAAGTGTATCTTTTTTCCTTGACACTAGAGTAACTATCAGAATTCACACTACTTATGTATGTCCTTATTTTAGGAGCTCCCTCCTATGAAAGTGGACATGCTTGTCAAACAACATATGAATTTATCCTACAATTTCCAGAAAATTACATACACATAGGCCCCACATTACACCTAAGAGAGTGTAATGTGATTGTGAACCTGTATAATTAATAGCAAACTTAAGTAAAACTGATACTGAAGGCTGTTCTCTTAGCTATCAGGGGAAATCAACTCTTTTTGGATCACTATTCTGGGTTGAAATGGTTTTTTCTTTGGTTTTATTAATTCTTTTAATTCAGGCCCTGTCAAACCTTGGGCAGACACATCACTGTGTAAGAAGGGCTTTAACTCAATCTTAAAACAATGAATAACGACAAGAAGATTTAGCAGAAACCTTTTTTCCTCATTTCTTGTAACAAAGAGGATGTTCTCTGAAATGAACAAGTGGGAGATTCCAAGAGATTAGAAGAACTAGTCTTGCATATAATATATGTGTAACCTGTGAAACTCTCCCATCAAATGGAATTGTTGGAGCTAGGAAGGTAAGAAAAGAGACTGGATAATAAGAAGAATCAAGAGCCATTTTAATAAAAAGCCACTTTAGAAAAATGGAGCTCATCAGTTGGAGAGGTTCCTGGGATGTCTTTCATATGTTCTCTAGAGCACTTTGCTTCTCCCACAAAAAAGGGAGAGTGAAACAGATGGGCCACCAAGAAGACCCACTGGACCCCTTCCGTTTCATAAGCAATGGGAAAGGACTAGTATTGTAACACTACAGAAACTCTTTGAAAGGAGGACTGCAGCTGTTTCCAACATCCTGACCACTTTGCTCGCACACTGACCCATTGGTGCCACTGGTTCCATGATTTTGACCTAATCCTTTCTGTACACTTTTTATTTTAGCTGGATTCTTCTATGTTTTTAGAGAAGCAGGCATTTCACTGCTATTTTTTTCAGGGCTGTGAAGGGAATGATAAGAATTTCTAAATATGTAGCAATCTAGAGGTTAATCCTCAGATCTTACTGCTGACCATAGGAGCACAAAGAACAATATTTCACATTAAAACAGCAAGGATGTTTGGAGAGTACCACCCTCACCTTGGTAGTCAAGGAATCCCTCTGAAAGAAGAGAAGTTAAGAGTCCAAGGTGGCTAGCCCACCAATACTTACCAACAAGAGTCGCTGGTCAAGCAGACTGAAGTGTGGAGAAAGTATTGTGTACTCCAGGAAGCACAATCCCCCATATCCATATACATACATTGAGGGAAAGAATAAGAGAGAGTGGTTCTCAAAAGAATATCCTATCGAAGAATTTCTCACAAGGATGGTTGTGGGAAGCCTGAACCTCACAAATGCACTGTGGCCATGTCCTATGTTTCTTTTGAATTGAATATGGATGGTCACGTTTGATTTGACACTGCAGAATGGAGATTGTGAGACATCTGGACTCCAAGCACTCACCTTTGCTCCTTTTCTTCCTTCAGGACCATAGGCATCTCTGCCATCCATACCCTGCCATAGGTCAAATATACCATGAGTTAGTTTTTAATATAGGATTAGATTTACATCCAATTCCATTTCAGAATAAAGACATCCCATTACAATGAGATGCCTAGATTGTTAAGACCGAAATAGGGCAAGCTATCACAACACAGTCTAAAAACAGTAGCAAAATCTGTAGAGAGAAAACAAGGATTAAAGCCACAGCTCCCCCTCACTGTGTGCCCTACCTCTAGCATGTTCTCTCTCTCCTAGAGAACTTGAGAGGACAGATATTCTCTCTAGCCCACAAGGAATCTGGTATTCATAAGAAAACTGAGAACCAAATGTGAAATAATTTTGATTGAATCAAATAGAGAAAATAGAAAGGAATTAACTTTACTGTTCCAGTTGGATGGGTATTAAACTACAGGGGCCCTGAATTAGGGCAGAAAGACTCACAGGCATGCCTCTCTGTCCAGCAGGTCCCACTGGGCCCTGCTCTCCAGGGTCACCAGCTTCACCCTGTTATAATTAAAACATAAAAGGCATTAGTTTGGCTCATTCAGGAGAATTCTTATTTCTGAAATGCAAAATTGTCTGCTAGACTAAAGTGTGCTTATACATCTTCTAGATTACTTGATGCTGGTCCAAAGCATTCCATTACAGACCTTCCATGTTTCATGGAAGGTTCCTTGCAGTGGAACTGGAAAGTACTTGGCAAATCAGAATACGCTGAGCATTCATGCAGCTAAACCCCAAAGGCCTTTGTTCAATAAAACTCACATTGTTATAGAGAATTAGCAGTGAAAAGAGTGTTTTCTGGGAAAAAAAATATATTAATGGTAGCAGGACATAGCCCAGAATTCTAGCAGCCTGAAGCATCTGTTGATAGCAGATTATATTCTCAGATAGGCTTTCTGCACTGTGGTCTTAGTCCTCTTGCAAGTTTTCTTTTCTTCAATTCCTTCTTTGTTTTTCACTTTCTTAATGAACTTTCTTCTAACAAGAACTCCAATATTAAACAGCATGAAAGAAGACTGAGAAAATGGAATGTATGGTGGATTAAACTCCTATGTTTCTTCCCAATTTTCATCACTGTTTCACTGTATGTTTTCATACAGTCACTTTTTTCATAGTAGCACTTTGACCTTCTGATAACTGTCTGTAACTGAATGTAATAATATACTGAATGTATTAACCCTTCAAAGAGAGTGAAGGGCTTAGCTAACTGGTATTATTTATGCCTTTTAGATTCAAAGATGCAACAACACCTAAAATTAGTTATTTTTATTAAATGAAGTAAGTCTCCCATATCAACACATATTAATGAAAGGAAAGTAAGGGATAACATTTATTATAAGTATGTGAACCATAATGGGGAACACCTATTAGTATAAGCCTTTCTGTTTAACTTCATGCTGATTCAGTTCTTCTCAACATATTCATTCCTGTATAATAGACATCACCATAACAATCAAGGTTCCTTGGAATGGTTAGGAATCTTTAGAACAAAAAGATTAAAATAAGCAGCTATGCTTCATTGAACTGGGAAGGTCAGATTGGACATTAGGAAAAGGTTAGTCTCTGAGACAAGATGGTTGTCACTGCAACAGGCTCCCCAGGGAAGTGGTCAAGACACAAAGCCTGACAGAATTCAAGGAGCATCTGGACAATGCTCTTAGTCATGCGGTTTAGTTTTAGGTAGTCCTATGAGGAGCAGGCAGTTGGACTCAATGATCTTTATGGGTCCCTTACAACTTGAGAAATTCTATGATTCTATGATTAACTGGTACATCTTTTCAATGGATTGGACAGGTTATAGGAATCATAAAACAAGCTCAAGTGTCAGCATTGCCTTACCCCTACCACATTTTGTGAGATGCTAGGCCCCATTGAGAACCATGACCACAACAGCAATTAGAACAGCAGTCATTGCAACAGCAAAAACGTCTTAGTATAATGCTGACACCTGTAAGATTACCTTGAACACATCACTTACCTTCCCATGCAATCTAGAGATGTGTATAAAACTTAACATTCTTCACATGTTCCATAGGAACAACACAAGTGTTAGTTCATGATTCTTCAGCCAGATTCTTGAGTGAATGATAGTGTTAGATTGCTGCAATTAGGTGCCTTAAAAATCTTTACCTTTGCTCCTCTTGCACCTAACTTCCCAGCAGAGCCAGGTGAACCTGGGGCCCCCAGACTAGCCTGTAATCAGAAGTATCAGTTAAAAAGTGCACAACAAAGAAATCAAGGGTTCATTGCACTCAAGGATTCATTGCCACTTGAAATTACTACAGAATCGGTATAAATATGAGCACATTAACAGGCTTTTGAGGACCACAGTAAGAGTTACTGGTCAAGTTATCATTCCAGTTATTTCCTGTTTTCTGATGACTGCTTTAAAATTCTCAAAATGTTATTAAGTATCACATGAATGTTGTTTTCTATCTACATGGATACCGAGTGAATACATGTACAATATGAATATATAGGCACACATACAAACGGGTGTGTAAGCATGAACATCACTATATGACTGAAGCAGATGCCCGAGGCTGACAGAGTAGGACATTCCAGTCCTGAGTTGCACTGGTGTAATTCCAGATTAAGAACCACCAAAATCAGCAGCATCACACAGGTGAGAAGATCAGCAGGCAGTGCTTGGTAGTTACAATCTCATCATTTCCCGGCATTAAACCTCACAGGTCATACTTTAATGAAACTATTATCTAACTTTGCCCTCAACTACACCATTGTACATCTGTATTTATACGTCCTGCAAGCCATGCTGCTAGTCCTGACACTATAAAACTGAGAGTGGAATCTAGAGCCAAGCCTTTTCATTGCAATCAGGCAAAAGTTTGGTAACACTGAAGTTCACTTCCTATAAACCCACTTAAACTTTTTTTCAGGGCTGTTATGTTATCATATGAGGCTGCAAATCAGTTTTCTTAAGTACTACACTGAAAAATCCTCAGTTTCTTCTTTTTGTACATTTTTTAAAAACTCTTTATAAGAATAATATCAACTCC